ATAACAACAACAACAACAACTCTGAGCAACAGTAGCTGAAACCAGACCACAGAGAATCTGACCTGATTTGTAGAGGAGCCACCCAAACCTCTATAAACTCTTTTACATGTATTTTCCAGTAATTCTTTTAACTTGCCCCTCTTGGTAATGTGGCATTGACACACTCCTTCTCCACATCTTGCCATAACACCATCAGCCCCTGAGGCTAGTGCCAGCCTGTCTCCAGGGCATCTTGCAGGATCCTTTAGAAACCAGACCCCCAATTTGTATCCCAAATCTCCTTGAACAATTTGAAATTCTTGAGAGGCTCCCTGAGTGTCCCTGCTGCATAATCAGGTTGGAGAGTCCCTGCCATTGAGTCTTGGTCTGAGATGGACACTTGATCTGAAAGGATTACCTATCTTACCCCTGAGCAACAAGCTGGGTGACTATTAGTAGGTTACTCAACTTCTCTGAGCTTCGGTTTCATCATCTTTAAAATGAGAAAGTTACTTCAAAATTCTTTGTGGTTGCACAGACTCTAAATACATCTACTTGCAGTTCTTTAATAAATCTACCCTTAATTCTCTAAAGAACTGGTTCTCTATAGTGGGAATGGATGGAAGGAGAGACTGATAGCACACAATGGTCTTTGAAGTTACTATAAAAAGTTTGCAACTGCTACATTCCAGAATTCTGTAAATCCCCTTAGGGCAGGGCTTGCCTGAAAATGTTTCTCTTTGAAGGCACTGTTCCCTCCTCTGCTGTCCACAAAGGGACTGCCCTCCTCTCTGCTCTGTGGCTCATGCTTGGAGGAGACTGGATGGGTGTTTAGCTTCTGCATAGCCTCCATCTTCTACTTAAAGTATTAGTGGTTGACTCTCAGACAACAGTTACTGAGGAATGTTGAAATCTCGGTTATTTTGGTAAAATAGGAGAAAATAGCTTTATTGTTTGATTTTTAAAGTGAAATGTGAGTTACAACAAGTTAGATAAGTACAATGGAAAAAGGAAAGTTCACTCCAACCCTGCCTTGGCAAAGTCTTTCTTAAAAGACAAAGGCAGTCCATGGCAGCTACAGAATTCACTGAAACTCCAAAACAAAAATACTGCCTGTGAGGAGGCTCCATTGTCAACTGACAGATAACCACTGTGGGTGCCTCACAAATCTAAGACCACGGCAGTTGGCCCTCCCAAGTTTGAGTTGTCTAGTGTGAACTTCTACCACAGTTCATTTGGTTGGTGTCCCACTACTAGCTTACAGGTAATAGAACCTTAAAACACAGAATAAATTCATTTTGCTTTAGACTAGGTAGAGTGTAAAAATGGCACATAGGAGTTAAAGCTATTTTTTTCAGTCTGAAATAGCACTACTGCCAAACTCAGCCCTAGGACTTAGATACAATCACAGAGTCAAGTTTTTCCCTCACTTGTTGTTGTTGTTGTTGTTATGTGCCTTTGAGTCGGCCCCAACTCATAGCGACCCCTCCTTGGGTTTCCGAGGCAGTATCACTACGGAAGTAGGATTGCCCAACCTTCCTTCCAAGGAGTGGCTGGTGGGTTTGAACCGCCAGCCTTCTGGTTAGCAGTCAAGTGCTTTAGCCACTATGCTACCAGAGCTCCCTTCCCTCACTTAACCCCTGGGAAAAAGTATGAATACTCTAGTTGCCCTAAACAAACTGGATTATAGGATCATGATTCCAGTTTTTGTTAAGACTTTCTCTCCTTTAGGCTGGCTTCTCCTTTCATACCTCCTTTATTAATTCCTTTATTAATTTATTAATTCTTTATTAATTAGCTTCCCAGAACTAAAAAGGCTGCTAGAACAACCAAGTAGTCAAAGTACTAGACACCATATGTATATTTGGATAGTGGGGGTCTACCTCACCTATAGTTTCCTGGTTGATGAATAGCCAGGCCAGATTTAGAGGTGGCTGATAGAAGCCATGCCACTCAAATGTGATACAAAGCAGCAGTATCACATCACTTAGGAGCCTTTAGTGAATTGGCACCTGTGCATTAGCAAGATCCCAGGTGACCTATGTGCCATAAGAGCATTAGAGAGGTGCTTCTCCAACTCTGAAGCACTGTGAAAGGCTGTGTATCCTGAGCTCAAATCTGGTGGGGAGGAGTAGAATTCACCCTCAGCCTGATTTGTCTCCTTGTTCCCTCCTCTCAGAAGCATGCTGCGGTTCCTGTCCTATGCCACCCAGGTGACTGGGCAGTTTCTCATCTATACAGGCTCCTACATGCTGCAGGCACTCAGTGACCCTGAAGAGCCTCCTGCTTCCAGATCACGCTCCAAGGGAAAGTTCATGTACGGGTAATAGCGGGAGGGGGGAGCACTGCTGGCCTTTTCATCCAATTGTCCGAATAATTAATTCTGAAGATGCTTATGTTCTTAGCCACGTGCCACTTGTAGTCTGCTCACCACCTCTGCTGAGGACTGGTACCTAGACGAAAGAAAAAGCTTGTCATGTCATTTGAAATGGAGGCTGTGCAGCAGAATGCCTTGGAAGGAGGGGGGATGTGTAGAGAGGGCTTGGGGACCTTAGGAGGCCACAAAGTACCTGAAGTGTCCTGCAGTGTCTAAATCAATCACAAGAATTACTTTTAATATGTGCAGTACTTCCTTATACCTCTTTTATCTCCCAAAAAAACAAACAATACTTTCATGTAGTCGCAAAACTCAGCCAATGCAAAAGCTCTGCTAACAGATACTATCACTTTTAAGTCTTTATTAGTACATGGTATCATAAAAATAAAGAGCTGTCAAAAGTTATTGTGTGTGTGTGTGTGTGTGTTTTGTTTTGCTTTTAGTGGGGTCCTTCATGAACCCAAAGCAACTAGAAATCTTAAGGACTTGAACTTTTGAAGGTGTTCAAACAATACTTCCAGTTTGCTCATTCACACTCTTTTCTTCTGTCTCCTTTCTTCCCTCCCTCCCTCCTTTCCTCCTTCTCTTTCTCTCCCTCCCTCCTTCTCTCTATTTCACGTGTATATGTGTGCGTGCAATATTATATTTATTTCTTCCTTTAATATTTGATAGAATTTGTCAATTAAATCATCTGTTCCTGGAGTTTCCTTTGTAGAAAGGTTTTTGTTTTTGTTATTTTGAAAAAACTTCATTTTAACAAAATTTTTTAAAGCAGTAACTCCCCATTCCCCCATCCCCTAAGCCCTGATAACCACTAATATACTTTTGTCTCTGTGTGTTTGCCTGTTCTATGTATTTCATGTAAGTGAGATCATATAATATTTGTCCTTTATGTCTGACTTATTTCACTCAGCATCGTGTTTTCAAGACTCATACACGTGGTAGGATGAGTTTCAGGATTTCATTTATATCTGAATAATATTCTAATGTATAGTGTACCACATTTTATTTATCCATTCATCTGTTGATGGACACTTGGGTTGTTTCCACATTTTAGCTATTGTGAATAATGCTGCAATGAACATTGGTGTACATGTTTCTGTTTGAGTAAATGTTTTCAATTCTTCTGGGTATATATATATATGTAGAATTACTGGGTCATATTTAAATATTTTAAATATATTCTATATTTAACTGTTTGAGGAATCAGCAAACTGTTTTTCACAATGGCTGTACCATTTTACATTCCCACCAACTGGATAAAGGATCCAGTTTCTCCACATTATTGACAGCATTTATTTTCCATGTAAGTGGGGGTAAAGTGGTATCTCATTGTAGTTTTTATTTCAAGCTACACTTTCAACCTTTTTCTAAACAAACAAACAAAAAAGCCCTGCTGAAAAAGGATGCATGGTACTAAGGAATGGCATCTTGATTTCCTAATGTCATGTATGTTATCAGACAGGACCCTTGGTTAGGGGGAATAAATCTTGACTCAGCTGTCTTAGGCTAAAAGGAGCCATGCTGGCTCAAGTCTCTGAGAAGGACAGCAATTTCTCTAGCTCTAGGTCTGGCTGTCACAGACACTTGATCTGGAAATTGGAGACCCCAAAACAGTTTTATAAGTGCATGGCCTTCATAAGGAAAGCTAAGGTAAGATCCAGTTCCTCTTTCCCTAGTCATGTGACAGAAAAACTTGCATACAAATTTCTCCACTGGTTAATAAGTAAGTGTGCCTAAGTAAAACAAAAAAGAAAATGCTCCATGGCACATGTAATTTGATTGAAGTTAAGGATCGGGTACTTGATATTGTCTTATAACCACTTTGTCACTATAACCAAAGTTGCATGAGCATGAGTAAACCCCAGCCTCCACATTAAAACCAAACCAAACTCACTGGTGTCGAGTCAGATCTGACTCATAGAAATCCCTCCTTGGGTCTCTGAGGCAATATCACTACAGAAGTAGATTGCCCAACCTTCCTTCTGAGGCCAGGTAATTAAAACCCCAGAACCAATCCTGTAACATTTTAGCCTGCAATTTAATTCATATCCCAACCATGGTCTCTTGCCCCCTTCTGATAGCCTGTCTTTGACAATGAATAACCCATCAAAATTTTTCTCAACTTCACTTCCTTCAGTAATAGTATATTAGCTGCTCTCTTACTGTGATTCAGTCAGTGAGTTCTGCTACTCTCTGGTGCACTCTGGCAGATCTCTCATTTGAATGATTGTTTAATAAAAATTTTATATTTTATATTTTAATAAAAATTTAAATTTAAGTCTGGGGTCTTTTCCTCTACCACACATTCAGTGAGGTTTAGGGCCATCTCTCCATCTCTCAACCTGTTTTCCTCTGAGGTGGCATCAGTTTCAGGATGGATCTCCTCACAGAGGAACACATTGTGAGTCCACACCGCCCACAGCAGGAAGGGCTGGTGATGGATCTCCAGACTGCAGTCACAGTGCTAAGTGACAGGGTCTAGCTAGGTGAGAGTTCTAGAGACAGGACAGCATAAGCCCCAGCCATGTGGACGGAGCCAAGGATACACTGCCCCAAAGAGAAAAGGCAGCTATCACAATAGTAAGGGAGAAGAGATGCTGAGAAACAAGTCAAAGAATGCAGCTTCTGAATTTCCTACTAAGAAATGTCGCCTTATTGGAGGCCTTTCTCAGATTATCCTAAGACACTGTTGTTGTTGTTGTTGTTGTTGTTGTTATGTGCTGTGGAGTGGGTTGGAACCACCAGCCTTCTGGTTAGCAGTCAAATGCCTTAGGCACTATGTTATCAGAGCTCCTTCCTAACGCACTAGAAGTACAGAATCCCTGCACCATGTCTCTGCTTCCTGCTCACTCCCAGACCTTTTGCCTGGACCTCCCCTCTGAGACACAGTTTGATCTCCCTTCCTCCTTCCTGTGATGGACATCTCCTCTAATCCTAGGGGTCTCAATGTCTCTCAGCTTGATGTTGTTAGGATCTGGTTGGAGAACTGGGCCAGGAAATACCCCCCATCCAAAGGAGATGTACAAATAAAGAATTGAGGTAACATTCCTTGAAACACAACCTTTCCATTAACATGGTAAAAAGTTAACAATTTTCACTTCATCGCTTCTCCTCTTTATTTCAGAATACGATGGAGATGGAGAATGTTTTACAAAGGCATGCCCGACCTCCTTTCCAAAGTCCCCCACCATCTGTCGGGAGGGCTGGCGCGGGCGGGGTCCACGGAGCGGGGTCATCCGGGGCCGAGGCGCAGGTCTTCGCGGCCCCCAGTCTCTAGCCGACTGTGGGATCGCGTCACTCACGAAGAGTTCCGCGGCGGCGATCCGGGCAAGTGACTGCCTGGCTTCCAAAAAAGGACTTTTCCCTGAAGCACCGGATCCCGCCGACTCAGCGCCCTGGCCTGCTGGAGAGACGGGAGGGGCATAGACTGTCTCCACACTGGAGTGGGTTTTGATTCAACAGGACGACCTGTGGTGACAAATATGTGAAATTGTTCACTACAGATTAGTAAGTAAGCACAAGTAACCCCGTTTTTACCTTGCTTTCTGAGTACTATGTCCCTGTCAGGCATTGTCAATTTGAAGAAGGTTTTGATTCTGTAGGAGGGTGCTGTGGGGTTGGGAGAGAGACAGATGCCAGACATACCTAGAAGCAGAATCTTTGATGTGATGAAAAAAAAGGGAGAGAGGGGAGATTGTACACTACAGATTAGTAAATTACCACAAGTAAACCACTGTTTACCTTGCTCATTGGGTAGTCTGACGCTGCCAAGGGAACTGGCAGCTATTCAAGTCCTGGCTTACCAGAGGTCTCTACAGGGGCCTTGCATGTCTCTGGCTCTGATTGGTGGCTTGCATGACATATGTGATGCTATCTTGTTCTGGTCTGGTTTTCTATACCCCACAGTTAGACCCCACCAGCTTGGAGAGAGGAGAGTTTCCCATTGTTCCTGGGTGGCAGCTCTTGTTCTTGGCTGGGTGTGGCTGTATCCCAAAATTCCAACTAGCACAGACTCTGAAGACACTGCTGCAGGTCTTTGTGTTGCCAGCAACCCTCCCCTGGGCTTCAGTGTCCTTCCTGGTGACCTCTAAGTGGTTAAGCTCTATCGCTCCATTTACTGACTCCATAGATCAGGAAAAAGAAAATCATTCTTATGAGGTCCTTCCATTTCTGGGTGGATCTTGGTGCTTATTAGCCCCTCTCCTTTCCAAGGTGATTTACACTACGAGCTCCATCCACGTGCTAGCTTCCTCTGAGGTCTCAGCCTCACAAGATTATCAGTGGGCAAGGGGCAAGGCACACTCTCTGCTGGCACAGAGAGCAAATATCAGAATGGCTTGAACTAAGGATGTGAGAATGAAATATTTTAAAAGCCATCACCTCACAGCCAAAGACAGCTCTGGTTAAAATCAGTTTGCTATAGACAGACTTTCCTCATTTGTAAAATTAAAGTCAAAAGTAAATGGTCCTGTAATTCCATGGTCAAACATATTTTCTTAGCACAGGATTAAAAAATATAAGTGGGGTACCTTTTGTCAGCCTTGTATACTTCAGTCCTTCATAGCCCTCTCTTTTGTGTCCAGCCTCGTGAAATGTCTCTCCATTACTAAGGCCCTAACACTGGGATTCCATTTCCTCACAGAAGAGTTCTCCTTTTTCCTCATGTGATACAGTATGTCTGTGCTGCTTCTGTGCAGAGAAGTCAGGTGGGCATGTCCACCCTTCAGAAAGCCAAGGCCTCCCCTTGTGGGCTCACAATGGGGTCACAGATAGGGTAGTTGTCTGGTTGGTTACCTCCAGGGCCCTAGAGCAGTGAGAACATGGCCTTTCTTCAGGAACCAGCCAAACAGCCTCAACCTGCAGGGGGTGTTTTCATGCAGTGCCTCCTCTGTCCTGCTTCTTCCACTCCCTGTTACCCTGTTACCAATAGATGGTAAGTGGGAAAAAACAAAACAAAACTGTGCAGCTTCCCCTCTTCATTTTCTTTTGTCACAACCCAAGAAAGCACAGAAAGAGTGAGGTATGAAGTAGTGACATGTGTTGCCTGTGCTCCTCTGATCTGGGGGTGCAGGTTTAAATCTCAGTCCACAAATCCAAGTAGGCAAGAAGTGTAGCTTTTTTTGTTTGATTGCACTCACTTTTTAATCCAAGCCTCCATCCACTCCACTGGGTAGCAGGGTCACTACTTCACACCCTAGGAATCTAGGCGGCAGCATTCCCCAGCCTCCCCAATTTATGCCATCTGCTCTTGTCTTTGGAGTCACTTTGGGAAGGTCTCTGCTACATCTTTATTGTCTCACCTGCAAGCTGCTTCAAATCCCATTGCTCACAACCAGGTCCTCCTGCTCTGAACACAGAGGGAAACAGCAATATGTGCACATGCATCTCTAGTCTGTTTAGGGAGTCTATGACCCCACTTCTGACTCCAGGGTCTAGGACCTGACTCTTCCTAACAAGTGTTCCCTCTTTTCTCCCTCACTTTGCCAAGTTCCTCTCCTCCTATCATTCCTTCAGCAGCATCACAAAGGGCAAGGGAGGCCGAAAGGAACTCAGGACCTCTTAGGAGGGCTGGGGGAAGGGAGAGACAGGAACCTCACCCCTGTCTCAGGTGTTGTGACCTCAATTCTCCTCACTGAGCACAGTTTGTGAGAATGGAGTATGAGAAGATAAGTCAAATGTGATCACTGTCAAGCCACACACCAACACCTGCCTCTTTATATAGTTATAGCTCAAACATACAAACAAAAACCTAAAAGAACATTGTTTTGACATCACAAGAATTCTTTCCAAATGTATTTTATTTAAAAAAAAGAGAGAGAAAGAGAGAGGGAATAAAACCTTCAAATCTAATCTATTCTCACAGAGTGAGGGCATGTGAAAGAAGGTGCTGCGGATCAAAAGGACTGTTCCACCGCAGGCCAAATGTCATCTAAGGGAGAGCATGAGTCATGGTCATGTGTGACAGGAGCCTCCATGTTCTCATCACCCTCAGTTTGAGCATTTTCCAGTATGGGGTTCCTTGCAGAGGCAGATCATTCTACTTTTGGATAGTTTTGTTAGTTGTTTCAAAAGCCAATTATCTAAAGCATCCACCCACAGGTTCCAGTTCTGCCTTCCTGAGTTACTAAAGGTAAAGCCTATCTGAGCTCCATACAGGAGCTCTGGTGGCATAGTGCCTAAGGCATTTGACTACTAAGCAGAAGGCTGGTGTTTCAAACACACGAGCCACTTCTTAGAAGGAAGACTGGGCAGTCTACTTCCATAGAGATAATGCCTTGGAAACCCAAGAAGGGGTCACTATGAGTCAGATCTAACTCGATGGCAGTGAGTTTGGTTTGGTTTTTTTGGAACTCCATATGGCAGTGCATTTAATATTTGAGCTCAGCATCTCCCCCATATGGCCCTCCACATTCAACTTCCCAGCCTCCATCTTGGTGAGACCTCCTGGCTTTCAGCCAGTCCAAGGTCCAGCAAGGGAGCTACCAAGCTGCCTTTAAGGCAGGCACTGTGGTCTCCACTACCTGGGCCAGCTCCAGACCTCAAGGCGCACTACTTAAAATCAGAATTCTTTTCATTAGCATCTACTTCTCCTGTGCCCCCTGCATCCTCTGCAGGGTGAATGGGAAAAGTGAGATAACAACAAGAGCTTCCAGAGGAATTTCCTGATGCGTGCATCACAAAGGGAGCAGATTTTCACAACTGTGGGAATCCAGAGAAGGGCCAGACCCCAGAGTAGGGTTCTGGAGGTCTCCAGAGTGCTCTTGGAGCACTCTTGCTCTTGGAATTGGATCTGTCTGTGAAAGGGTTGTGTTCCAAGGGGACAGGGGGCTGTGCACCTTTACAGGGAAGATTTCTGGCGAGTGGAGGGCCCAGCTGCATGGTTGACTGTCAGGTGACAGAATCTGGAACTGGACACAGTGATTTGAGCTGTCAGCATCTGAGGGGCCATGATCTCTCTTGAAGCACATCTAAGTTTGTGGGGAGAGCAGAGAAGAGAATAAACCCACAAGGCTCTACCTCCTTATTCTTCCTTACTCATGTCAGGGCTTGAGCTAAGCACTGAAAACCTTGGAGAAGACTTTTGAATGTGTGTGTGTGTGTGTGTGTAAGTATGTGTAAGAGTGTGAATGTGTGAGATTGTGAGTGGACATATAAATGTGAGTATAATATAGTGACTGTTGTATGTTTGAGCTATAACTATATAAAGAGGTAGGTGTGGGTGAGTCTGAGTGTATGTTTAAAAGTGTGTGGATGTGTGGAGAGATCTGGCAGGATGGTGGACTAGGCAGAAAGACTGCACAGACCCTCTTCAACAAAGAAAAGGGAAACCAATTAACACAGACACAGAAGATAATCCTGGACCCCTGAGCCATGAAGGGAAAGATGTACAAGTGGACTAAACCCCAACTAGCAGAAGAATTTGCATGAAAATACCAAAAAAGGAGACATACAGAGCTGCAGTCTGGCAGCGATCCTGAGCGATCCTGATGGCACAGACAGCTTGGAGATTCCTGAGTGGTGGTAGGACCTAAAAGTTAACCTAAAAATCACCCTGCTAGCCAGGGACTGCATGGAGGACTGTGCACAGTGGCTGGGAAACAAACGGAGAAGGCAAAGAGAAAGATGGGCTGAACTGTGGACTTTTGCCAGTCCAGAGGTTGGGGCCATTTTGAAGGTTTAAAAAGCAGCTTGACTATTTTGGATATTTAAAGAGACAGCATTCTCGCAGATTCCTGGGCCTTAAGAACATGTTCTACTTGCCTGCAACCCCAAGGACACTTGGGACCTGCAAGACTGACAAGGTACGACATTCCTCTTGTTACTCTTGGGAAATGGAGGTGTGGTCATCTCCCACTCCCACCTACCTTCTGGGCCCACAGGAACTCCATCACAGTCTGTGTGCTCAGATGGAGCCTGGGTGCCCTGCCCTGTCTTTCATCGATTTTTTTATTTCCTCTTTTTTCATTTATATTTTTTTCTTTTTCACTTTCTTTTTTCTGGTGATTTTTAGTTTGCTTGTATTTGTCTGTTTTAAAACAACTAATATTATTAATACTTTTGTCCTTTTTATTATTATTATTAACCTTCCCCTCCCAGGTCCTAGTTTTCAGCATTTTTTTTCTTTTCCATGTGCCTGGTTGAAATTTTTATTATTATTTTTTTAATTTAAGGTTTTTTTCTTTTCCCCCTTTTCTCTTGTGGTTCACCCTGTCACTTTATTTTCTTTTTGCATTTTTCCCATTTTTTTTTTCATTTATTATTCTCCTTCTCCACTTTTTTTCCTTAGTGCCCTATCCCCAGATATTGCAGGTTTTCTTGTTTTTTCTTCTTTTTT